TCCGAATGAGATGACACCAGGAGTTACCCATCAATCCTGCACACAAGTAAAGATGGACAAAGCTTATCTCTTATCTTCCGTTGTGGAAACGTGAGGTCACTATAATCACGTTCCCAGCCATGACTGTACATATAAGATAAACCACCCTCTGTTACGTCACCTGTTGGTTTCTGAAGAGACACATTGAAGCCCAATAGGCAGTTACCATCACCGCCATCTTGGCTGTGTCACACATCTCAACAGTCCTGGACAAAAATGAGCAGAGGCGGAGCTGGGAGCAGGGCTGTGAGGATATGGTCAGCCGTCAAACTCGGATCCGACGTTACTACAAGCTAACTGAGCTAACCAAAGCTAACAAAGATTTGAGGAAACTTTTAGCCAGAATCAAGGTATGTTAAATTCAAAGCATTACCTCACTGAACCAGTGAATTAAACTACAGAAATATAACATTACATACCAAATGTAAAGAATGCATAAATGTCCAAAACAAGACCTCTTCTGGGACAATCAGATCACAATTTTGTTTTTCTCTGCTCACAATACAAACCACTTGTTCAGAGGCAACCTGTGACAAGAAGAACTGTGAGAAAATGGTCACAGGATGCTGAAGAAGCCCTGTAGAGTTGTTTTGAGACCACAGACTGGACAACTCTCTGCCAAGGATATGAAGAGGACATCATTGCCATGACTGGATGTGTCACTGACTATATAAACTTCTGTGTGGACAACATCATACCCACCAGAACAGTGAGATGCTTTGCTAATATCAAACCCTGGCTCACCAGTGAACTGAAGAATCTGCTAAATGAGAAAAAAGAGCCTTCAAGGAGGGATACAGGGAATTATTGAGGAGTATACAGAAGCAAATGAAGATCAAGATCAGAGACAGCAATGAGGCATACAGGAAGAAGCTGGAGAACAAACTACAGAGGAACAATATCAGAGATGTCTAGTCAGGGATGAAGAAGATCACAAGCTTCAAGCAGAGGAAAGATTGCACAGATGGCAGCCTGGACACAACCAATGAAGTGAACAAGTTCTTCAATAGATTCAGTTCAGGAACAAGCCCAGCATCCTCCTCACCTGTCTCCAGCCAATCAGACATCCCATCCTCCTCTGATCCAACATTTTCCTGTCACATGCCGGGTCGGGGTCGCGGGGGCAGCATCCCAACTAGGGAGCTCCAGACCGTCCTCTCCCCAGCCACCTCCACCAGCTCCTCCGGCAGGACCCCAAGGCATTCCCGGACCAGATTGGAGATGTAACCTCTCAAACGTGTCCTGGGTTGACCCGGGGGCCTCCTACCGGCAGGACATGCCTGGAAAAACCTCCCCAGGGAGGTGTCCAGGAGGCATCCTGACCAGATGCCCAAATCACCTCAACTGACTCCTTTCGATCCGGAGGTGCAGTGGCTCTACTCCAAGTCCCTCCCGAATGTCCGAGCTCCTCACCCTATCTCTAAGGCTGAGCCTGGCCACCCTACGGAGGAAGCTTTGGCCGCTTGTATCCGCGATCTCGTTCTTTTGGTCATTACCCAAAGCTCATGACCATAGGTGAGGATTGGGACGTAGATCGACCTGTAAATCGAGAGCCTGGCTTTCTGGCTCAGCTCCCTCTTCGCCACGACAGATCGGCTCGGCGTCCACATCACTGCAGATGCCGAACCATTTGTCACTTTGCAAAACCATGTTCTAGACTGTTGCATCTCAGACACTATAGAGCAGGGCAGAAGGGTCGGAGGTGTGGTGATGAATAATCCTTATAGGTGACAGAGAGATTGGCTAAAGAGGGCCTTCAGAAAGGAACCCTTTTAACTTTTTTTTTTCAATAATCAGTCACTCTGAGTTTAACACGCAGGCTGAACATAAAAATTGTCTCCTACACTTATCTCCTGCATTAGTGTTACAAGTCATCTTCCCAAGCTAGCTGACTCTTTAATAAACACTACGTCTCAGGGTTGACTTGTACTTCTATTTATGCGTGAGCATGATTATCCAGTTGACCTGCACACTAATGTGAGCTGATCAGCGATCATCATTAACCTAGATTTAGATCCTGGCACACACACTTCTAGCAGCTCAAAGGAAGACTCTGTTCAAACCCAAACACACCTCAGTCACCTGCAGCTTATGCTATGCCCATGTTAAAGACTCTAAGCTAAGTGTTATGAACCTCTTGGAGTGGGATTAAAGTAACCAGCACCTCACCTTTCTGCGGTTACGCGACACCAAGGAGACCCCAGGCAGGAGATCCATTTCAAAGCTCCTTTTAAGAAGGAACAAAAGTTTTATTTTATATGATGAAGTAAAAAAATATTCCAAATTCCCGACGCAGCGGGTCAAAAACACCGAACAGGTACAGACTCTCTCAGAACCCCCCCAAAATCTTCTGAAGCCCCGAACCAACTGGGCCCCCCTCTTTTATTGAACACAACTCCCCTTCTCGCCCATCTTCGTCTCCATGACAACTCCCGCCTCGGAAGCATTCTTCGGCCTTGAGACTCCTCCCAGCTCCCTTCTTCTTTGTGGGTCATCAGTCAGATGGGGGAGGTCCCCCCCCCCCCCTTCCTCTTCACCAGCTCAGATCAAAGGAAGTCAACCATAAACAATTTCCAGACATGGGTGTCCCTGAAATTCTTATCACATCCTGGACTACTCCATAAAAGTCAGTAAAAGGCTAAAACTACAACATATATTTGCCATGAATAGCAGATTAGTGAAACACACTCATTATTTACGACATCAGGAGATCAGGAGTCAAGTCACGCACACACATTTTACACACAGACCTTTTTCTGAACCCTGTAGCCTGGTTTCATCAACACACAGATTGAGATGTAATTCAGAACTGCTTTTATATGATAAAACAGGTCTGGAGAAATCGAAAATCTTTGTTCAACAATTAGCTTCTGAAAGAAAATAGACAGTGAAACTCTAGGATTATACAAGTGCAAAGTCCACATGACTGCTTACATTATGTTTGAGATTCTGTGAACAATTCAATAAAGATTCTTGATTTTTAGATTGCCACTCCTTCACTCAAAACCAACAACCAGAACCCAAAACTGATGAGCTACCCACACAACTGTTGAAATCCGGGTCCAACACTAAAGAAAACTCCAAAGAAACTGTGCCACAGAACTCGACAAAGTGTCTTCAATACAACCTTAAACAAACAGTCTCTTGAACTATAAATTCTCTAGGTAACAACAAGTTATTATAAGAACAAACGCAGAGCCAATGGGAACAACAGCCTTTAAAGCAGAGGTATTCAAAGCTGGTCCTGAAGGGCCGGTATCCAGCATGTTTTAGTGGTTTCTCTGCTCCAACACACTTGATTCGGTGGTTGACTCACCTCTGCAGCAGCTCATTAGGCTCTGCAGAAGCCTGTTAATCACCTGGTGATCAAAATCAGATGTGCTGAAGCTGAGTCAAAACTAAAACGTGCTGGATAGTGGACCTCAGGCTCACAACTGAATACCCTTGCTTTAAAAGCTGCTGCAGCACAGCAGCATCCTCTCTTCGTGGTGCTGAAAGGGTTGACTAGAAAGGGCAGCATGTAGGAGCTGTCCAGGGTGCTGAAGAGGAAGCATGTGGGGACTGCAACACTCAAACATGTAAAGAAATGCATCACGGATGTTTCGAATTATTCCCAAGTTCAAAATAAGCAAGGCAGCTTTATTTGCTCACTGCACACACAGAGGCAATTGAATACAAAGACAGGTTATAATTCAGCCAGAAACAGGCTGAAACTTTTGCACAGCATTCCTCTAATGTGAGGCATTTTATTGCAAAAACATAAAAAATAAATTGTAGCCAAGCTTCCACCGGTTTTTGGATTAAACGTTGAGTTGAATCAAATGTCTTAATTAATGATTTGCTTAGATTAAAGTCCTATAGTTGTCACCACACTGGTAAGGTGAAAATTGTCCTCCACATATGACCCATCCTCGTGGGAAGTGGTGAGCTGCAGACATGGCTATGCTTGGGAACTATTTGGTGGTTTAACTAAACAGTCACATGATAATAAATCACAGTGCATTTAGTGGCAACCACAGCCTTAAAACATGTGTTGAACGTGCCCAAGCCCATCCTTTTGAGAGCAGCATGTGAGCACCTGTGTGTGTACACGCTTGTCGCTTGCTTATGTAAGGTTTCTCTATAAAATCGTCCAATAGAGAGTGTGAGGGACCACAGGTCTGCCCCCCAAAGATGTGCAGGAGAAAGGAGGGAAGAATGTGATTTTTATGCAGGAAATGTGTGCGCCGTGTGTATGTGGTGTTTTATAGGTTGGTGACTCAGCCATGTTCACCTGGGACTTGATTGTGTCCAGTTGAGTCCACCATGTCAGTTCCCTGCTGCCACAGCTTATAGCACCATCATCCACACGCTTCATACTGACCAGGAAGACTGTTCTAGTTCGTGTCAAGTCACCCACATCAAGTCAGTCATGTAACCCTAGCAAAAGTGTTGTCGAGTCCAGTCACGCTGTTAATCCAAATCAAGTCATATCCCACACAGCACCACTCCAACAGGTTTTTCCTATGAGAAATATATTTTCATTATTTGCTTCCTTCTGTTTGTGGCTGAAAGCTTGGGTCCAGTTCACCTGAAAGCAACAATATTTGAAGAAGCAGCAAGAAAACATGGTTGTTTTCTCATTTTCTCTCCGACACACAAATGTACCCTTGCTAAGGTCATTTAAAGGTCCCAGGCCGTTGTTTACAGGAAGCAGAAAATACATTTTGTCTGAGAGCCTTCAGTGGTCAAAATGATTATGTGGATATTTACAAAGGAAATGTTTTTTCTCTGTAGCTCTGTGAGTCATAGTATTTGAAGGGAGAGCCAGGCAGCATGCTCCAGAGGCAGAGCTCAGGCTGAAGAGAGGGGCAGGTTCTTATTTAAATGAGCAGGAGGGGGAGGGGGGGGGGGGTCTGGCTACAAAACCAACACCATCCATATGATAACAGTAAACATTTCTGTTTGTCTTCTGCTTGCAGGAGGTGAAGTACTTCCAGTTTCCAGGAGAACTGCTGATGAGGATGCTGAAGATGCTGATTCTACCTCTTGTTGTATCCAGGTAGGATTCAGTCAGACGTTGATGCTGATCTCATACTCTGCGTAACCGCCGAGGTTCCAGCTGTTTTCGCCACAGACACCAGTGTGTGAAAGGATGGTGGTAGTGTAAAGCACTTTGGAGTCCTCGGACTCAGAAAAGCGCTTTACAAGTGTGGGTCATGCTGCCAGCACCACACCTGCATCCAGACTGACTACAAATGAATGAATAATGTCAGTGTTTTCTGAAGCAGCAGAGGTTTTAGCTCCGTACACGGATGATTACTTTCTGGGAGTTTCTTAAAATCAGCTGATTAGATGTTTGCAGACAAATGAACAAACACTCAGCCACAACTGTTACTGTCGACCTTTCGTCACAACAAGCCACACTCTTTGCTCTATGGTTTCATGTTATTCACTAAAACTCTGCCATGCTGCCAATTGAAGCTGATCTGTAATGAACCTCATGTCCTCACAAACTTAATTGTCAATCCATTTATTTATACCTTCTGGCGTTCACACATATAAAGGAAGTTTTCAGTCGTTAAAGACACCTGCCTCTGGCAGGAGTCATTATTCCTTCAAATATGTGCCAGCTGAGAACGCTCAGCGTGTCTCCCATCTCCATCTGACTCCATCAAAAGTAAAAGCCACACAGCCTGAAAACAATATGGATGTTCTGCTGAGATCACCAGAGCTGAGCCGGAATGAGGTGTTTTGTTGTGAGTTCTGAACCCATGAGAAGAGCCTTTCTTACACCAAACACGTTTTAACGGTGTACGTGCAGTAAACCAGGAGGTAACGTTTTTAAGCTTGGTTTATGCTTGACGCATTCACTTTCCGCTTGGTGATGCGGCTCGCGGATGGAACGCGCTTCACAACTCGCAGCGTTTATGGTTCATGCGGCTTGTCTCTGCGGTGAGCCATTATTCTCCCAAACTGTAGGGGGCAGCATGGAGCTCTACGGCATGCATCCAACACTACACCATAGTAGAAGTAGAAATTACTGTTTACAACATGGCATTCCAGCATTTTTAACAGCGTCCTCGTCTTTTCCGACAGTGCGAGCTATTTCTCTCCAAGAATTATTAACAACATGTTGATCACGGTGATCTCTGAGAGCTGAATCATACAAATGTCTGTATTTACCAACCTCTGCCATACTAGTTCTTGCCAGTCTGCCATGTTTTTCCACGTCCGACCGTCCGCGTGGTTAGAACATTTCCGAGGTGCGCGGTGCAGAAAGTTTGGGCCGTGCGGAGGCGCGGTGGAGGGGCGTGGTTGTTAAAATGACGCAATTTTGCCGCGCGGAGCCGTGAGGACCGCGCGGACGCGTCAAGCATAAGCCAACCTTTACACTGCTGTCCTGCAAGATGTGAGTTATTTAAGTTTTAACTGCCTCTAGTAAAAGGCTCTGAGAGATGGACCTCATTTCATAAAAAGCAAAGCCTTCAGGAGGAAACGTGGATCAACATGTTAGCGTATCGCTCTATGAGACCTCATAAAGCTTTCCACATTTGATCTGAGTCTCAGTTATTTTTCCCCAATCTAGATTGTTTCACTGAAGCTCCAGCTGGATGCTTGCGTGGCTGCCTGATGATTGGGCTAGATGAAAAGCACATACTCCATGAGATTGTTGCTTCACCCAATTACCTTCTGCAGCAATCGGGATTAAATAGGAATGCTTCTACAGGAGTAAATCTGTTGTCCTTTTATGGCTTCGGATGCATTCTTAGCAGAGCGCAGCTAGCCAGATTTTATAGTTTGATTATTTTAGGCCCAAAGCTCTTAGTTGCCTGCATGAGGTCAGTGATTTCTGTAACACACGCAACAAAACCTACAAAAACAAATCATGCAAACGCACGGGTTACATGCAGGCTGCTTTGTGCAATAAGCTACTTACAATCCATGCAACAGCAAAGACTGGATGAGAAGTTAATCCTCCCTCTCTGTGTCCCGCTGTCTGTCCCTCTCTTTGTCTCTATCTCTGTTAATGTTCATGAATTTTCTCCTGATTGCTGCTGTTTACAGCCTGATAGAGGCTTGCTGCTACACGGTTCTGGATTATGCACGTTTTCCTGGCCAGTACGGAGAATGTTGCTGGGAACTGGAGCGGGTCCCTGCAAGAGTGGAGGGTGGGGTGGGTGTGGGAGACAGTCACGACCACCCCCACCAGCCTGAACGACACATGGGAATGCAAAAACAATCAGGGTGATTGTTTGGAGCTGAGGCTTTGTGTTCCCCGCGCCTGCCTGTGACTCGATGGAGGCAATAATGGATAACGAAAGTTTGAGGCGTTGCTCGTTACTGAACAGATGTTGACTAATCATCGTCTGCTCACTCCCGCTCACTCTCACATTATTGGAAGAGTATCTGAGAATCTTTTTTCATCCCTCTGGTGACACGCCAGCCAAGCCAGCTGCAGGAGCAGAGAGGAGTGGTGGACGGCCTGCTTTGACTGGGATCTGCGTTCATGGTGCAGCGCGGCTTATGGGGGGGGTGAAGATCCTCTCTGGCCTGCCTGTCCCTGTTTTTCCCCTCCCAATGCCATCTGCGCTCCAACCAAAGTGGAAACCAGATTATCCCATGGAATGCGTCACGTAGAATGAATGGCCTCTGTACAGACCGCCTCCTTATGTTTCACGTTAGTCTTGTTGCTCACTTGTAATCAAACTCTCCTCTGAATAGAAACCATGTTTCACCAATAAAACTCAGTGTTTCTGCTGATTGTGTGTGTGTGTGTGTGTGTGTGTGTGTGTGTGTGTGTGTGTGTGTGTGTGTGTGTGTGTGTGTGTGTGTGTGTGTGTGTGTGTGTGTGTGTGTGAGACATGGATCAGTAGATGGATTTTAGTCAGATGCCATGGGAGTAATCATCAGACGTTCGTGTATCACTGATGGCAGGTTTTCCTGAAACGTTGACGTCATTTGTTGGAATCCGTTGAAGATGGCCACCACACGCAGAACTGCATAACTGTGTGTAACTGGGTCAGTTTCAGACACGGGAGGTAAACATGTAGCTGAGACTCTGTTAGAAACTGTGTGATACCTTTAAACATTTTTCAGTTGTTGCAACGCAAACAAACAAAATGACGTTTAACAGAAGCTGTGAAACATAACAAAACTTCAGCTAATTACCAGAGGTGAAACCACATCATGTGTGAATGCAAAGCTAAACATTACCTCGCTTTATTAATATAATAATTATAAGAAATGACTTTATTATCACCTTTCGGTACAATACTACCTTCATTGCCATTCATTATTTTTCAAAATCAAATCAAAATCAAATCAAATCAACTTTATTTATAGAGCGCTTTCACATGGCCAAAATGGACAAACAAAGCGCTGTACACCAATAAAATGCAACACAATAGGACAAAGATATGACCATTAAAATACATTAATAAATCCATTAAAATACACTAAGAAATCCCTGTAAAATACCGTAATAAATCCTATAAAGATACAATAAGAAATCCGTTTTAAAATACAGTACAAAAACCTGAGTGCCAGTTCACAGTCCATATCCGGCCTACTTCCCCCAACTTCAAAGTCCAAAAGCCAGCGAGAACAGATGTGTTTTCAGTCTTCCTTTAAAAGTTTCTAATGACGTGGCCTGTTTTACATCATCTGGCAGCTCATTCCAGAGACTTGGTCCAAGTACTGAAAAGGCTCGACTACCACGAGACTTCAGGCTGCACCTAGGCACAGTTAGTAATCTCTGGTCAGCTGACCTAAGGGAACGCACATGTTGGACATGTTCGTGGATGATATCAGAAAGATATTTAGGAGCCCCTGTGTTTAACGCCTTAAACACAAACAGGATGACCTTAAACCTGATGCGATAAAAAACAGGGAGCCAATGCAAGGCACGCAGGACTGGTGGTGGTCTTATTTTTCAAGATGTTATTGAAACTAAAAGTGCATGGTCAGTTTTAACAACTAAATAGTTTTATTGGATCCAGTTACAGAAAGTCACATAATCATGCGTGCGTGCGTGCGTGCGTGTGTTTATGACCGTCTCACTCTTTGCATGAATGTCCTGTTTTTGCCCAGCCTTCCTTCCATGTTTTGATTGATAAATCGATGCTTTCTGACAGCAGCATCAGTTCAAACTGCTGAACCAGACTCTCGGCCAAATGAGGAAACATTCCCATCTGAAACTAAACAATCCACTGGTTACTCAATATAATAATAATAATATTTGATTAAACCAAAATATAAATATCACTTAACCCTTCATAGAGCTAGCGTCAATATTTATGCACTTCCCCTCACAAATATAAATTATGTCGGTGCATCTTTTGACAGACTCGTAGAATTTGGGGAATTTTGGGACTCATCAACCAATCACTAGAGATCAAGCTAGTCACAGTTCGCGCCATAGCGCTATTCCACAAATCACTGTGGATCTGTGAAGCGCCAAATATTGGTGTGTCTGAAAATCCAACAAACTCCCTTCCTGCAGTTTAGTCTCCTCTTGTGTACAGCGCTTTGTGATTTATATCTGTGAAAGGCGCTATATAAATAAACTTTTACTTACTTACTTTACTTACTTGTGTTTACTGTCAGATCTCTAATGCCGCTTTCCCACTAGCATCGGCTCCACACCACCCGGATAGCCCCAGTCGGCCCCAGCCTGGCCCGGTTGATTCCACACATCCTTGCTTAGGTATGCAAGGAATGCAGTCAGAAAAATTTTCACCTTCTAGGTAATCAGCATGATAATGGATGATAATGAATTGAGCATGCCTTAAGCCCATGTGGGCTGATTCTACCCACCAATCAGAGGCTTGCTCAAATGGAAGGTGTGAATTTGCTGTCAGCAGTGGGTGTGTTGGCCCTGGTCAGCCTGAAGCAGACCCCCTCAGAAAGAGGGCTGAAAAACTGTCTCGTTGCACCCTGTAAAAAGGCAGGCTACCAAGATATGGAAGCAAGCTGTGCTATCCGGGCCGACCAGGTACAGATGGCAATGGCCCATAAGTCTGGCTCATTTTCAGTGAGAGTTGGACTCCGCCAAGGCTG